AAGGATCAGATAGTTAAAGAATTAAGGCCCACTGATATTACTGGAAACATGTTCAGTGAACAACAGTTTTTTTCTGTCACAGAAAAATTTAGAAACCTCAAGAGTAGCCTAATGAATATGGAGATAACATTACTTACTAAAGGAAACTCTTTAGTGGCAAATATGTATGTGCTTGCACACACACAGATTTATGCATGCATCTTATTAGGAGATTTTTACAAACACTCTCAGATCGTCACAGCTGACTATTTGGAAGGAAGAAATCCTCACCCTTTCCTGCAGAAGAGAGTTTCTAGCAATAAAGTTCTGACAGGAGAGTGACATACGGTCATGTTTTCTTAAAACAGCCTACGAAGATAACATTTTTAAATACAAAAAGGAAGGAGTAAAAATATTCTTGCTTACTTTGGGGAGATCTCTTTTTGCAAAAAAAAACACAAAACACCTGTAATGCTACTTAATTTTGGAAATGCACTTAGTGACATATTTCATTTCCATTTAATGTACACAGTGACACCTACTGGCATACTGATGAGGCAATGAAGACAAGATTGGGACATTCAAACATAGGCAGAGGCCTCTGAAATACAACCCTCTGTGCATCTCATGTTAAATGACAGTGAAGTGCAATATTCTACAATGCGATATTGATCTAATGACAGAAATAAGCCAGGGGAAAGCCCACGTTCCTGTTTTTCCATTTTAAGTTACTGAGCACCGTGAGACCAACACACACAGAACCCCGAAGTCTGTACTTACGCGTTCACTTCACAGTTTTCAAAAACCATAAGCATTTATTTTTGGTGGTTGAAGTTAAACCTCAGATCTCGCTAACGTCAATATGTTTGGTTGAGGGCAGTCCCATAACGTGTTAATATTTTTTAATGATAAAAACCAAGAAAATAGCAGCTGGGAGGAGTTAGCTGCTTTTATAAACAAGCTGTGGCCTATTATAAACAAGCTGTGGTCTGTCACAGAAACACGGAAAGACTTGTGAGACTTTTTTTTCTTTTTTACTATATATGCTATTGTTGAATTTGGCCATGGGATGAGAAATTAACTCTAGATGAAGCAGGTGGAAAGAATATGGGCAAGTGAGTGGAGTATCAGTCAGAAGTCTGGTAAACTATAGGTGGTCTAACTTTAAAAGAGCAACAGAAGGGTTGGGGACAGGAGGGGAGGTTTCTGAGATGACAGGAATGGTGGCTGCCCTGGAGGCCACCGCGGTATGAGAGCAGACCCAGCCTTAGCCAACAGCAACCAAATCGCCCCAGTGAGACGGAGCAAACAGGTGTGTGGGAAGTTCTGTCTGTGAGGTCAACTTGTTGACAGAATGCAATTATGTCAAGAGGAGGGGATGCATCTCGCATGCCCAATGGGGTTGGCTAGGATAGCTCCATGTGCTGCTGAGCTGTCCCAGGCTGAGTCAGCAGAAGAGAGTGCTGGGATCAACTAGCCATGTCTGCCATGGGTAAGGAGGAGGAAAATGTGCTGAAGACCTGCAGCCCCCTTAGCCTAAAGTTAAAAGGCAGAGAAACAACTCTGCCTCATAACCTCACCTCTTTCCAGCCTAATTTTCTCCTGTGTATTTGGTTTTGCCCTTGGTTTCGAGGGAAGCTGATTTTGAAAACAGTCCTATCCTGGCTCTAAGAAGGGGAGATTTTCTTTGGCTAGCTGGAGAGACATGGTGAGGGTGCCAGGGACAATCGCGGAAGCAGGGCACACGGCCCTGGCCAGGGAGGGGCTGGTGGTGCTGCTGGGACACACTTTGCAGAGGTCTCCTCTGACAGGGGTGACAGGTGGTCTCCCCCAGCGGAGGGCCTTTAACACAAACAACACAGCCCCAGTGGGGCTCTGGGTCAAGTCACCAGGACTCAAAGGTGCCAACACCCTTGGCTCAAGGTGTGGGGTAAGAGATGGAGGGAGTGTGTGAGTGTGTGTGTGTGTGTGTGTGTGTGTGTGTGTGTGTTGTTTTGTTTTTTTTTTTTTTTTAGGGGGGAGATGCGCCCTCCGGGGTGTGGCCTTTAATCCAGATTCTAAAAAACTTGATTTGGGAAAGAAGAGGAGCCACCTCACCATTTTGGCGAGAGGAAGGGAGAGGGATAGAGTGAGAAACATTGATCAGCTGCCTCCTGCACACCCCCCCCCCCCCCCACTGGGGATATGCCCCCTGACCGGAATCGAACCCAGGACCCTTCAGTCCACAGGCCGACGCTCTATCCACTGAGCCAAACCGGTCAGGGCCAGGGAAACACATCTATTGGTTGCATCCGAGGTACATGCCTTTGACCAGAATCAAACCTGGGACCCTTCAGCCTATGCTCTACTCACAGCCAAACTGGCTAGGGCTGGGCAGCTTTATTGAGACAGTATTGGTCCTTGAAAAGGCCCAGAAAACTTTTCAGAATGTGTGATGCAAAAAATTGAAACTAAAATGATATTTTGCTTTTTTATCCTCAAAGTTGGTTTTCTAATTGCATAGCTGAATGAACAGAAGCCCATGCGAGTTTAAATGTTGTTTTTTAAAATCCTTTTCTTATGTATTTGTGAATTATAATAAAGGTGACTATATACTTAAAAAAAAAAAGAGAGATGGAGGGAATTATCTCAGGGCAGCTGGCTCCTCAATCTGACCAGCAATGGACTCACCACCAGTAAATTATTTGACCTTTAAAACCCGGCTGTAATATATTCCATTAGAGATGACATCGTGTTAAAATTTACTGGATGTGCTTTGCCTGAAATTAATAAAAATCAGGTAAGTTAATTATGAGTAAGTTCATGGCTAAACCTATTCCCTGGGTTGGTTTTTTTCCTCTGTACTTTTCTGTCTTACAACTTTTCTATTACAAATACATATTTACAACTTTTAAGTAATTTGTGTACACAGTAACATAGCAAATGCATAGACAAGTCATTATAAGCTAAGCAATACTTTCCTGCTCCAACCCAGAAGCAAGCCCTTACTCTCAGGTCTTACGGTCATTACTTCCAGAACTGGATTAATATGCATATTCTTCCACGTCTTGATTTGTCAACCTTAAAAAATATCTAATGATCCCCACATGAAAGATGAGGATTTCGCTGATCTTTTTACTCCCCACTCTGCTTACCCCTCCCCGATATATGAGAGTTATTTTACTTTAAGGTCTTCCACTGGTTACTTTTGTAACTTGAAATAATGCTTTGTACTTTTAAACTTCTCCCGAACCTTTCTCACCTTCTACCATCCATCAGCTACTCCTTCGCTTCTATACTGTTGAAAGTCCCTAATATTTATATTGTTTTTTGACACCACCAGGAAGTTTTCACTCCTTGCTCATAAATTGATTCTAAAAGCTGAAAAATAAACAGGGTTTATGTTATTTTGAAATGTTATGTATGGAAATCAAAGTAGCATGCGAGGGTTATTCACAATTACACAAACCATTAAGAATTAAGCACCATTGCCTGACTGGTTTGGCTCAGTGGATAGAGCGTCGGCCTGTGGACTGAAGGGTCCCGGGTTCGATTCCGGTCAAGGGCATGTACCTTGGTTGCGGGCACATCCCCAGTGGGGAGTGTGCAGGAGGCAGCTGATCCATGTTTCTCTCTCATCGATGTTTCTAACTCTCTATCCCTCTCCCTTCCTCTCTGTACAAAATCAATAAAATATATATTTAAAAAAAAGAATTAAGCACCATAAGAACAAGATACTAATATGAAAATAATTATGAGAAAGCAATTAGGGGGGAACATGATGAAACAAAAGATCACCATTTCGTACACAATTAGTAAAAACTATCATCTCTAAGTTTTCCATACGTTTCTTCTTTTGGCCTAATTAAAATAAAATGTAAGCTATCCTTGAAACAAGTTAACAAGATTCACAAAACTGTCGTTCAGATAGTATTTATTTGAAACTTTCTCTGAAATTTAAAACCTATAGTGTTTGGGGGGGAGGGTGACCCCTGCAGAATAAATGACAAGTGGAACTAGGCAATGGGGCAGTCACAAGGGCAGGACAAACCTATATAATGAGGAAGGAGACTTCAGAAGAGAGAGGCCAAATACTGCTCACAGTCAGCTGGAAAACTGTAACCAAAGAGTCCATGTGCTCAATTTCTAAATTCCCTGAGTCAATATATATACAGTCTAGGTGTAACCACAAACCTGAAATCAAAACAGTAATCATCACGTATGGATACACATACACATAATTTGCAATGAATGCCAACATACACAGAATAGGCTTCTACATTAAATATTCTGTCATGCCATGCAGTAAATAAATGGAACTAAAAAGGAATTTTGATGTATTATACATTAAATATGTGACTCTACAAAGAGTATTTCAAAATCAAATAAATTCTCTGAAAACCAAGGTAACCAGTTCCCCAAAACAAAACCATATTTGTGTGTGTGTTTTTATGTAGGAATGAAAATTAGATATAAAGTTAAAGAAAGATAAAATAAATAAACCACACTATTTTGGCTGAAGAGTACCAGTAAGAAAAGAAAAAAAAACACCTCCTTAACTATATTTTACCTTTTAAAAGTGCTGTTAAACTAAAATGATTTCTTGAAACCTAGCACTTGTAGCTCAATATATTAGACATTGATTTATTGAAGAGCATTTACCTTCACCTAAAAGGTTTCTTTTTATTTTACTTGGAAGCAGGACTGCAGCATAATATGCACTCCCATATGTTTGTCTCATCCTGCTTTTATGAGAATGTGCATTTAGATACTCAAAATTCCTGAAAACATCTAGATTAAATTAAACTACTAGGTATGGGCCACTTCTGGAAACTTCCCTCCACTAGACTCTAAGCATTTGAAGGGCAGAAAATACACCTTATTCTTCATCATATCACCAAGTAGTCTAAGACAATGGCTTGTCCAGAGCAATTGCTCATTAAACATTTCCTGCAGGAGCATTCTTTGTAAGAGCAAAATACCTAAAACTACCCAAATGCTCAGGCATTGGAGACTAGTTGGATAAAATGATACAGAAGTACCATGCAGCCGTTACAAATGAGGAGGATGCTTATGAACTCATAAGGAATATTCTCCAGGATATATAGACTGGAAAAATAATCAAGAATGGAAGATTATTAATAGTATATTACTTGTTATGAAAGGAACAATAAGAAATGGATATAATAAGAGATGGTGATATATCAGGGATAACTGAGTGTGTGTACATACAAAAGAGAAACTCAACAAGTATAAACCTGAACCCAATAAAAGGTTACCTTTAGAAATGTGCAGAGGATGCAAGGGTAGCAAGACTTTTCAAAAAAATCACGTCTGAGCTATCACCGTGAAGCTGTAGGTCTCCTTGGTCTCTCCCTTACCTATGACCATCTGTACTCCTGACCCTCCTGAGACCAACCACTTGGTCCTCCCGGTCCTCAAGCACACACTACACCCAGTTCCATTTCAGTGCGTTTGCTCTTCCTTCTCACAAACCCAGAATCCTCCAAACCTGGGTCTACATGCAAAATCCACCGATTCCTTAGCTTCCTACTCATCCATGAAAGTCAGGGCCCCGGGTGCTGGATACTGGGTTAAGTTGAGGGCTGAGCCTCGGCTGTAGCCTTTCCTGCTGCCCTAAGTTCCTAGAAATGACATTCGAGGTATATTTTGAAATAACAAATCTATGTCCACATTAGAAAACAGGAAGGGCACTATTAATAGACCAAAAACTGTCACAGATAACTAGGCATTATTATAAGGGACTGAAGGAGAAAACCACAAATCTCTGAGCATGCACTAAAGAGGATGATACAAAGGTGGGGGGCGGAGGGGGCTGCAGGGCATACCAAGCCCAGAGGTGAAAGGCACAGACACAGGAGGGGCCGGGGGCAGGCTGTGAGCAATCGGGTCTGTTCCAGATGGAACACAGAGAATAAGTTTGAGGAGAAGAGGCGGGAGACAAGTGGGAAGAAAGCAACACCCAAGAAAATGGGGGAGCCCTCCAGCACAGAGGGCTGGTTGCTGACGTGCCCCCATCCAGCCCTATAAATCCATCTCCCTTCTTCTGTTGATCCTCACAAAGGAAGGGCGCCGCTCCCCTACTCAAGGCCAGCCCTTCACTTGTGCTTTTAAAAAACAACCGTTCGACCTGTTTACTTCTAAACTGCCTATACCCATCTCATTTCAAATATATGTCTTTTTCCACAAAAACATGCCTCTGAAATGGCCAATGGATTCTTAAGAATATATGTGCCAACCTGGTACAACTGTCAGAGTCATTGTTGGTACAAATGTACTTTTCTTTCTGACGTGGATGCATTTTTCTAAGGAGCCAGGTAGACATCTTCGGCTACCCATTTAGAGAGGCGAACACCTCCCACTAGAGCACAGAGCCCTCAGCAGAACGATGCTCCTCACCTTTGGTAACCACACAGCTCCCCCTACTCCCTGGTACCTGTCATTCAATCTCCCATCCTCACTCTTCCAGCCAGACTTTCTCTTAATCTTCACCTGTCACCCTTTACACTCCCTATTTCTCATTCTCTGTTACTGAAGTTTAAGGTGAGTCATCTTAGGTTGGGCTGTAATTATTGAGTACAGACTTTATTGAGCCAAATAATGTTTTGTCAGGTAAAGAAACAACTAAAGCTAATTCAATAGAACAATATGTAGAAAAAAATTTAGAATTCATGTCAGACCAACTTATTCCTATAGGAACCCAAAGAAAAGTTAGAAAATGTTCATATACAAGACTTCCAAATTCTAATTTCCTAAGTTAAAATGGATACTTGCATATTCAGCTGAATAAATCAAATAGTGTTCATTAATACTCTGACACTAAATCTGCTTCCTCTACAGACCCAGTGAGATTACCACAGAAAATATATATCAATCCAGCCAGGCAAAGTTCTGTAGGAATCAATGATGTGACAATCTTGAGTAATACATTTCTGACAGTTTTGAAAGCTTATTGGATATATTAACACTTTAATGTAATACACAAACATTAATAGAAATCCACAGAGTTATGGCAGAAGCTAACCATCACTAAAGCAACCAATTAATCAAATTAGTTTGAAATTTGAAAAGAAAAAAAAAGGCAATATTCAGAGAGATAGGCCATTTGTTCATTTCAAGACCCATCAGAGATTTAACTAGATCCTAGCCATATATAACAAATACAGAAAGATGCTAATATTTGCAACTTAAAGAAAAGGGAAAACCTTAAATATACAGAAATACAACTGAACAGTTTCAGCTTCGGCAGGAGGGCATTTGGAGATGTGATTTAGAGGGATTCTCAACTCTTCTTGGGTTCACAGATTTGCAAACCTGAAGACCTCTGTGGAAACAAACACATACCTGCAGGATTTTACATGCAATTTCAAGACTGGGAATCAGTGTTGAAAGACAGCTACCTCCTAATTTTTGGAACACTGACGAGCTAGTTAGCTGACACTGAACAAATTTCAGTAGCCACGTTGATTCCTCTTCGAAGGTCTCGCACTCCCTGCTCCTTTCTCTGCTTTCCTCCGCCTTGGCCTGCCCCATCCAGGCCTACACTCCGCCCAGCTTCACCCACTCCCTCTCCACTCCCACTTCTCCCTATCTACCCTCCCACCTCTACTGCTTTAACTGATCCAGATACGGAAATAAACTGCATATTTGGGTGACTTAACTAAAGTTTTATGTAAAAGCCAATGAACTGAAAACTTCACATTTACAGAGAGAGAGTGAGAGATTAATGGGGGGGGGGGGGAAGAGAGGGAATAATACTGTTTTCTAGGAAAAACGGAAGTTGTTTTATAGCTGGCTGTTCATTGTTGTCTCTGTATTTTTTCCCCAGGTCCATACTCGGGAAAAGTGCCTGTCCCCTGCCTATGACGATCAGGAGGATTTGGGGACACAGAGAGCCCTGAGCACCCCCAGCAGGACCTAGAGACTAAGACAGGAGCTTCTTCCCTGGTGAGCCAGGGCCAGGAGGCCAGGCGCCCAGGGCAGGGCGCTGGGACCAGAGTCTGGTCCACACTGAGATGGCACCCAGCCCAACCTCCGGGAGTCAGAGGGTCCATTTTGTACCCCTCTTTGAGCAGCCAGCACTGTCCATGGCTCCGTCATGTATTCTAAGTCATGAAAGAACAATGCTGTGGGACAAAGGTTAACAAGACACGTGGGTGTGTGGGAGGAGGACACTAAGGCAGCCACAGGCAGCTGCAGTTCATCTACAGAACCCACAGTCCCTGCACCGTGGAAATTATTTCAGTGATTCTTTCACGATTAGACAAGTCTTAAGACTCTTACGGCAAAGTCCATGAAGGTACCGCTATACACCCTTCATTTACTAGTACTGTGTGCTTTCTCTATGTCAGGCACTATACATAGAGAGGTCTAGGTAGAGATATTTGTGTCTCTATGTACCTATAATTGTATTTAAACCTCAAAATAGCCCTATGATGTAGCTATATAATCCCCACTCAATAGAGGAGGAATCTGAAGTTTAGCACATGGACCAAACTGCCCAGAGCCAAACTTACTGAGTCAGAGAGAGGGAGTTTAAACACAGATGCCTTTGGCTCTGGGGCCTGTGCTCTAAGCCTTCGGTTCTCAGCTTCTCCAGCTGTAATGCTCCTGTACATCCTCGGGGGTTTTGTGAGAACGAAGACTGCTTGGGGGGTGGGGCGGGGGGGACCGAGAGGGGCCACTGAGAATCTCACTTTCTAACAAGTTCCCACCACCGCTACCCATCCAGGGCCCACATTTTGAGTAGCAAGGGGCTAACTAAACAATGACATTCGACTGATTCCATACATTACAGCTGTGACTTCTAAGAGACTGCTGCCAGCAATACATTTCTAGAGAGGTAACCACTTTAAAGAAAAAACAAGCAATGTGTTTTACGGCTATTAAACTGTGCAGGGAATTATTCTTTCTTTAATTCAGAAAACACCATGCTAGCACCTAAAACCCATTTTTAATGAAATAAAACGAATCTCCAGTTTTTCTGCACACACTCCCGTTGCCTTCGCCAGCGGCGTCTCTCCGGTGTCCTGTGCCCCAACCAGATGCATCCTGTGTTTCTACAAGGAAACCATCAGAATCTATTAAAATTACTGTACACTGATAGCTGCAGGGACATGACAAATCGCAGGCCAAGAGTCAGATACCACGGAGTGTGTTCCAGGGCTTCGGGGGCAGGCCCATTTGCAACCAAATGATATTGTGTGAGGCTGGCGCGCTCAGTGCATGACAAACTGATGCAATTTCAGCGCTGTCTGCGGGCCAGCGGAGATCTCTCTGATGCTGGTTGTGGTTCGTTTATAGAATTGTGCAGAGTTCCCAGATTTGAATCACTCGGGGCTTGAAAGGGCTTCACTTGACAAGCTACAAATAATTACACTCTACTCTTTCCATTGTACTCTATTATTTTGCCCCCCTTATCTCCAGGGTTTGAGCTTTTGTGAACAAGCAAGGTCGGCTTCTATTTTGACCACAACACAACAAAACATTGTTCTTTTCTGATATGATAAATAAAAGGAGGCCCTGCAGACTAAACATTTTTATCAGGCACATTTTCCACTTTTGTAGGCAAAAGCCGACTTCGGGCTCAGTCAGAAGGGCTGAGCTGGACATAAGCAGGCAGGCAGGTTCCTGCATCCTCACTGAGGGAGGGGCCCCAGCCATCTGGTTATTGTAAAAGCTCATTTGAAAAAAGGGACATTGACTGACAGGTAAAGGGCACATGCGCAGTAGCTTTTACAAGGTTTCTACTGCCCTGGTTTCCCCTCCCCCTGTTCCCAGCTGCATCCTAAAGGCCTCTTCATTCAGATATCCTTTCTTAAAAAAACATATTTTTATTGATTTCAGAGAGGAACGGAGAGGGGGAGGGGGAGGGGGAGGGGGAGGGAGAGGGGAAGGGAGAGGGAGAGGGGGAGGGAGAGGGAGAGGGAGATAGAATAGTCAATGAGGAGAAAGAATCATTAATCAGCCACCTCCTGCATGCCCCCCACTGAGGGTTGAGCCTGCAATCCGGGCATGTAACCTTGACTGGAATTGAACCCAGG